AATGAATTATTCATTTTAGCAACCAAGACTGCCGTAATGTACCAACAATAAAACATCTTGTAATAATTTTCTAATATTCAGGATAATTTTTTCTTCCAATTAAATACCCATTGTTTCATCTCTATTAACAGCATTAAAATTCTGCATTCATTTAATCATGCAGTCTTTAACCTGCTATATATCTGAGTCATATTTCACCAATAGTTTATAAATTAAACCTTGTATATAAATGTTTTGTTATGTCAAATTCCATGTATGTATTTCTTTTTTTGTTTTTTTAAATTAATCTGATAGCCTGGCCCAAGACCATATTGCTGTATACATTCCTTTAATTATATGAAAGAATCTTTAGGTTACATAATTGTAAGTACAATGTTGTCAGCAAGTAATTTCAGTTTACATTCTTGTACCACTAGTCAGCTCACAGCAATTTTGTTTTACATATTTGCTAGTGGTTCTAGGGCCAACAAAAATAAAGGAGAAAAAAACAACCTTTACTTGTCTCCTTCAATATAATATATGACTGTGATAAACAGCCATTTGCTATTATTTTGATTTTTTTGTTCTTTATAAATATGCTAATGCCACATAAGAATCTTTGAACAGCAACCCATTCTTGCTTCAAAAAGGTGGACATAGAAGCCCATTCCAAATGGTCAAAAGCTTTTTCTGCATCAAGAAAGAAAAGATGATGGCTACTTATTTATTTGCCTTATCAATAACATTCAGCATGCATCTAATAACTTCGCATATACTCTTCAGAAGAAATCTGATTTGATCAGGAAGTTAAAAATCTGCTTATTCACTTAGCAAGAATTGCTGCAAAAATCTTACAATATACATTTAGTAAAGAAATAGAAATCTATTGGCTTTAGGACTGAAGCCCTTCTTCCAAAGAATTTTCAAGCCTAGATTGTACTCCCCAACAAATGACAAATCAAGATCAGAAAACACCAGTTATTTCATAATTTATAAACTCTTCAACTAGTTTGAAAATAAAACCTTATGCAGTAAAACCTTAATTTACTTAACCAAATGAAGGAAGTGGGGTGTGCCCATTTAGTCATAAATGTCTGCTAAACATCTCATTCATGGTTATGGAAATTATATGAAATTAACATTAATTGCTTATTCAGCAGAATCCAGCAGAATAAGCAGAATTGCTTATCCAGCAGAATCCAGAACACATCATGCCTTGTTAAAACTCAAATTATTTTTCTGACACATACACACCAATACACACCCACTAAAATAGAACTGTGAACTGCTGTAAAAAGGTTGTAATTATGGCCCCTGACAAATACGTCCTCCAGGAAACGCCAATGTCGCAGCAGCTCCGAAAGAGATGTTGGACAGATGCACAACAGTCAGGGAATCCAACATATCAAAATCACTTCTCACTCTCTGACATACTCCAACATTTGCAAGCAATTTAGGAAAAGCCAAATAAAATATAGTCATGCATGAACAGAAAGTGAATAGTCACAGTCATAACTTTACCCCTATTTCTGTTCAAGATTGGAACATATTCTATCTTCCATTCTTATTTATAAATTCATGTTAACATAACCAACCTGTTACTTTGTTGGAGAAGCAGTTAAAGCATACATCTTTTAAGTATATTTATAGAAGTACAGGTAGTCCTTGCTTAATGATCCTACTTGGGACTGGCAACTCCACCACAGTGGGAATTCATGTGACCACACTGTGCTTTCCAGTTGGAAAGAGACAAGACTACTCCATTTCATAGCTTCAGCTTTTGTTTGCCTCCTACTTACTGCCTACTTACTGTTTTTTACGCACCAAAAGCAATGCGATCGCACCAGCAGCCCGGGGCTGGGAGCCACAGGTACACTACGCAAACAGCTTACTCTACTCAGGCAAAGGAGAGATTGCCTATAGAAATCACTTGCTTTTTTTCTCCTGCTCTCAGAGCAGAGAGATTGGAGAGAAAGAGATTTCAAGAGAGTAAGCTGTTTGCGTAGCACACCTATGGCTCCCAGCCCTGGGCTGCCAGCATAACTGCATTGCTTTCAATGTGTAGAAGAGCAAACAGCTTACTTTCTTGCAACAGATTACTTTCTTCAATCTCTCTTCTCTGTAAGGGGAAAAAGAAAGAAAAAAAAAACATGAGTCAGGCACAGGACATGTACTGACTGTCATGACAATCACATGACTGAGGAAAGCTGCAAAGGTCATAAATGGTTGTAAACAGGCTATAAAGTTATTTTTTCAGCACGGTTGTAACTTCGAACTGTCACTGAACGAATGGTCAGTAAGTAAGGACTACCTGTACACTGGAATACTTTGAGATAACTTCAATATATACTTGTGCATGTTTCAATCTGAAACATATTTAAGTTTATTAAATGGAATAGATAAGGAAGCATTAGTTCAAAACTATATATAAAAGAATAATTTCCTTACTCCTAATCATATAAAGCAGAGATCAACTTTAGTTAATGTTGCATTATAAAATATTTCTCAAAGAAATAAGGTTTATTCAAAAACTCCCTATAAACAAATAAAACTATCATAAATTTATTTTTAAAAATCATCACAAGCATATATAAAAAAAATTTAGCAAAAATTCATTCTTTAACTATATTTTACAAAAGCTTGAATGAGCAGAATAATGATTTTATCAACAATTTGAATGTTATGTGGACTTACATAGGTGGAAACTTTATTAAAAGTAGATCCATTTTATGAAGGAGAGGAGAATACTGTCATTTGTTTATTTATTTATTGAATTTATACCCAATGCAGTCAACTGACTCTCACCGCTTACAAGGTATACAGCACTATAACAGTTAAAAAAATCCATGGTAGAATAAAATATAAATAAAGATAAAGAAATCATTGCAGAACTTTCAGTAGCTGTTTTTACAAATTTAACATTTTCTAAATAGATTTTATAATTACTATGAAGCAGCCTACCAATTACATAATTACAGTCTACCTGTTTGCTGCTAACAATGAGTTTCCAGAAATCTAAGTAAGCAAGAAAATCACAGTAGCTGCTGTATTCAGCAAAAGGGTAGAGTGATTGGTGAAGTTAATAATAAATTGTTTGGATCTTGTATCAACAAAAAAAGTGTAAGAGAAAATTACTGTGACAATTTTTTTAATATGGGCTCAGACAAAGGGCACTTTCTGCAAACTAATTTGAACACAATTACAGATACTGAGGTACATACCAAAGTACAAAATTCACATGTACAAAGGGCACAGGCCAACTTCAGATGCAATGTTTTAAATGTACCATAGCAGCATTGGTAAGAGCAGCAAGGGGTGAGAGTGTTTTAAAGCATGTCTGAAAACTATAAATAAAAGCATAGGTAGATGATATGGTGTGAAAAAATATTACTGTATAACCAGTGTCCACATCCAATTACAAGAAGCTAGCCTGTAATAGATTTGATTTGATTTGATTTGAAGAAGCAAGGCCCAGTAATATAAATCAGTGCCTTATTTAACCAGGATCTCAAAGTCTTCTTATTGCACTTAACAATTAGGAGGGAGGGAGGGAGGGAGGGAGACACAGACAGACAGACAGATGTTACAATGTTGATACAAATCTGTTTATCCATAATTATAAAATCAGATGCCTGTGGGTGTACTGAATACCATCAATCTTGTATGGAAAAGTAAACTACTTTAAGTAGATAAATTTGTATAATTTTAACATTTGTCATCCCATATGCACATATACTTTTCAATTGATACCCAATTTCAGTTCAGTGCTGCACAGTATTTTGTGGCCTGCACCTTGTTTTCTCAAGTTGCAGCATACTATACTTTCACATTACAACTTGGAAGTTTACTTTTTCAAACACTTCCTATGAAAAGTCCTTCACGAAGAGGATTCAAATGGTAGAACTTTAAATACTGTAATTAAGAGCAGGAGGCCTGACTATTTTTCCAGTTCTTGCCTATGTAGACTTCATAATACAATTACTTTTATGCCTATTCAAGTCTAACTTGCACACACTTTTCATCATTAATGATATTCCTGAACTGAAATAATGTTGTATACATGAACTTCTAAATAGTACCCTACATTAAGACGCATCTTGTCATTCATGGTATTTATTCTTGATTAATTAAATGAAGGCTCCTGTCCTTCACCCTTTACATGGGAATAAGTATTTTCTGTGGGACTTGTTTCTGAATAAACATGATTAGGATCTGGCTTCAAAGAATGACAAAATCCTGTCCATGGATATTCTTCAGCAATCCCTCTTCAGCTAAATCAGTGTTTTTCAACCTCAGTAACTTTAGGATGTGTCAACTTCAACTCCCAGAACTCCCCAGTCAACCATGCTGCCTAGGGAATTCTGGGAGTTGAAGTCTATACATCTTAAAGTGGCTGAGGTTGAGAAGCACTGAGTTCAAGAAATCAAGATCATGATCAAAATTCAGTACAATCCTAGACAAGTACCTGCAGTTAAAGTCCTTTTTATTAAACAATAAGGCAGTTAAAATTACTGCAAGGCCTATCCTCCTTGTCTCTAAGGATTGCTGCCTTCTTTCTTGTTTCTTTTTCTAGATAGTAACCTGTGCATATGCAGACGACCTGAAGCGTGCACGTGATGGTAGAAAGGGGGGGACTGTTATCGTCATGCTACGTGGCGCAACCAGGAAATAAATTCATAACTTGGGGCGACAAGGAAATAAAATAAAGCAATCATAGCCTGCCCGTTTGCTTTCGCTTTACTTCTTCTAGATCAGAAGGACATCCGTGTGCGTGTGCCGCCCCGTCTGTCTATTTGCACTTGGGAGTTTCGAAATCTCAGTTAACAGAACAGGAGGGGTAGAGAAACCACAGGCTACATCGCCGCCTTTAGCACATTGTGCCCCGGCACGTAACGGCGAAGCAACAGCGGCACTCGGCTGCAGCCGGACATCAACAGGAAAAGATCTAAGCCGGCCTTCTCTCGCCATGAACCGCGCTGCCCAGCTGGCAGAAGCGAGAGCAGCGGGCGCAAATTACGCACCCAGAAGCAGACCGTCCATGTCAAAGATCAGGTGAGTGACAGGCTGCACCGGCGGTGGGTGGCACGAGGACGTAGCCATTGCGTCGCCGCTGCGATCTCTGCCAAGGCGCCCTTCCTGCCCATGCGCGCTACGACAGCAAGAGGGGCGGGGCTTCGGGGGCGAGGTGGATTGGCCGCTGTCAAAGCTTTCTCCGGGCGCTGGCGGATTAACATTCCGCCAGGGTCAGCGAAGGGCAGGCGCGGGCGGGAGCGAGGGCGCAAGAGAACGGCGGTTTCGCTGCGCGCGCGCCCCCCCCCACCCCCCTTTCTCCCTTTCCCCCTTGGCAGCGGGGGGGGG